TGAGTCAGCTTCTCTGAAGTGGTTTCTTGCAGGTTCTTCTAGCTCTGGTTCCCTTCATGAGTCTGGCTGGTTTTGGCTTCTTTTCCTTGTAGGGCTTCCTCTCTTGACCTGCTTTTCCTAAGCTTTGGAATATGGTCATTAAAACTGGGCTGAGTGGTCCTATGGGGGCTGTAGCAGCAAGAGGTTGTCTTTGGTTTCAGGTGCTGGATCTTGCTGGGATGAAGAACTGGGTAAGGCCACAGAGAGATGATCGTCTGCAGCCTGTTAGTAGATCTGGAGTATCTGAGCTTTTCTGAGCTTAGATTTTGGGGGGATTCTGTTGGGGTTTGGCTCAACAGCTTAAGTCCTGGCCGGTGCCATGCTCTGGGATAGGTACAGGGAGGATGCAGTTGGCCTGAACACTGCTGGAGCGTGCAGGGCTCTGGCTTATTCCAGATTTGGCTCTTTCCAACCCTGTCCTGCACATCCAGTGCACCTTGGATGGGAATTACAAGGCTGGGGGGAGCAGGACGTGCCTCCCTGGCTCCTGAAGTGGTCTTGAAGCTGGATGCTGTGGAGGTTGCTCCCTGCAGAGGTCGAAACCAGCAGCAGCAGGGCCTCCTGTCTCGGAGGTGACTGTCACATTGCTCTGTCTCTCCCGTGCTGTGAGGTTTTGTGTCCCCATCCCTGCTTCATGGTGTGTGTTGATGGGTCAGCAGTGTGGCTGGTTGCATTACCTTTCCCTCTGAGGGCTCACTTAGCTTCCAGCCCCACCACATGGACTGCTATCCATGGCCTCTGATGGACAAAGGTCCTGGGCTGCCAACTTAAGAAGGTAGCAAAGGGTCCTTGAAGCTAAGACTGGGGTCCCTTTGGCAGTTCAGCTCCAAAGGATGCTGCAGCTTGCTCTCATGGCACATATCCCATCCCTCCATCAGGGATGCAGCACACTGCCCAGGATGGGTTCTGATGGGCTGGTGCTGGGCACAACCCCAGGCTGCCTTTGCCTTCAACCTCTTGCTATCACCTTGGCTTCAGGGCTAAGGATAATGGCGCTTGTGCAACTGCTGGATCCAAGTCAAGGAGCTCAGAGCTTTGGGAAGCTGCTTTCCAGGTGGTGGGGTGATTGTTTTCCTTCTTCCTTGATCTCTGTGCCAGCAGCACTGGCCAAAACCAAGATCCTTGGCAGCCTCCTTGATGCTCTTGACATGAAAGTGCCACCAGCATGGAGTGTTGCCTGAGCCTCTTCAATGGCCTTGAGTAAACCTGCTCCTCAGGCAGCCAAGCACCTGCAGCTCCAGGAGTGCTGGGAATGTGCTGGGAATGGGCAGTGGATTCAGGCCAGCTCTGGCCATCTGGAGCCCTGCAGGGGCCGTCCAACAGCCAACCTCACCTCAGTGGGGGTCAGCACGACGTTGGGGTGTAAAGGTGTCACTTGGTGTATCCTGGGGTGGGATGTGGCATGATCCCTGCGTGATCTCTGGGACCGAAGACATTAAAGCTGAGGGTTGACTTGTGCTCTTCAGAGAAGCTGGAAGCTTTATGCTAAAGCTGCTCCCAGTGTGGCTGCTTCTGCTTCAGAGCTTACACACGGCTTACATGTAGCTTACTACTTCGTGTGGCAGTGGTTGGAAGTGGATGATCTTAAGGCCTTTTCCAACCCAAACTATCCTATGACCCTCAGGGCTTGGGCAGTACCTCCGAGTTGTGCTGGCAGAACCAAACTGCAGCTGGAGTGAGTAAATCCATCTCCTTCTGCCTTGTTACCAGGGCATGTTGAAGAAGGTCCTTTACAACCATGTGTTGAGGGGCTGGCACCAGGTTCTCCCCCTTGCAGCAGTGCAAGTGGGAAGCCCAGCCAAAAAGCCAGCAATACGGTTTGTACGAAGGGGAACCAACCCCCTGGCATCTTCCTCTTCATCTCTGGCTTTAGCTGGTTGTATTGTAGCTGCAAGGAGGAGGAGGAGGAATGGCCAAAGCAAGCTGTGGGGACTGTGTGTGGATGTCAAGTAAATAAAAACCAGCTTGGAAATGGGCCTCCGCTCACTCATCACCAACCACCTGGAACTTTTGGATCTGGCTTGGAATCTCTGTCCCGGGCAGTGTGTTTTCCTCTTCTAGGAGCAGCGTTCTTCCCCTAGAATGAAGAATCCAACTCTGCTGTGATAACAGCTGCAATGCTTTTAAGTGCATCTCTCTTTGGATTCCATTTCAGCCATTAGATCCATG